AATAATAAATTATCTATTATTTCATAGTTTTTTTGCTCTATTTCTTATCGCATCGATATCTGTGTGCTCAAAGCTTTCGGGGTCTTTCAAATAAGCATAGATATTTCCAAATTCAGGATCAGCTTTCAGTTCAGTAATAACCGTATCTCTAGAATCTAAAATTTTTGAAGTCAACACAGCGCATTTAAGTTCATTACCTTCATCGTCCAGTTTTATACGAGAAAGTGCGTCAGCTACATTGTTTTCCTTACCCGGTTTATATTTTATTGTGATATTATATTCTTGGAGTTTTAAAAGCCCATCTTATTAACCTGGGCGTTAGGTTTTTTCCCGAGTAAAGTCTACCAACAGCCGCATGATCCGAAAAGACTGTTACTGGCGATTTGCCGAAATAAACTCGAAATTTGTGTACAGCCATTAATACGGCTAATGTTTCTCTTTCTGTAGCTGTATAATTCCTTTGTGTTTGATTCAATGTTTTACTAAAAAATGCCAGCGGATGGTTATTTTGCATAAGAACCGCACCCACCGCATAGTCTGACGCATCTGCTGCAATTTCCAGGTTTTCGTCCCCCTCAGGGAATTTTTTAAAACAGGGGCATTAATAAGCGCTTCTTTTTAATCTTTCAAAAGCTGTGTTAGCTTCAGCTGTCCACGTAAATTTACTCTTTTTTCTTTTGATTACTAAGAGTGGTTCAACAATATTAGCGAAATCTTTTATGAAAGATCGATAGTAAGAACATAAGTCCAAGGAAAGACGAAAGTTTCTTGGCGGTGTTGGGCGGTGGGAAATTCTTAATAGCTTTTATTTTTGAATCTTGCGTTTCTATACCCTTTTGCGCGAAATTTTATAACCGAGATATTTAAGTTCTTTAGTTGCGAACTTGCATTTTGAGGCGTTAATTGTAAGACCGGCCTCTTTTAATAATTTAAAAACTTGTTCGAGGTCATTAATGTGTTGTTCCAACGTACTACTCGTTATAATTATATCATCTAGATAAATTAAAGTTGATTTTCCTAGGACAGGCTTTAGAACAATGTCCATAGCTCTCTGGAATGTTGATGGGGCCCCACACAACCCAAAGGCATGCGTAAAAATGCATAAGTGCCCGATTTTGTTATAAACGCGGTTTTATGTATATCTTCGGGTCTCATAGCTATTTGATAGTAGCCAGACGTTAAGTCCAAAGTAGACATATATCTTGTCGATTTGATCTGTCTAATGATCTCGTCTATAACCGGCAAAGGGTAAACTGGGAAATTTAGTTAATGCTATTTAGTTTTCTGTAATCGATAGCAAACCTCCAAGCCCTTTTATCCGAAGGAGGAAACTCGTTCTTTTTCCTACATAGTACGACTGGACTCGCGTATTCACTATTTATGGGCGTTATTATTTTATTCTTTAACATCTCCTGAATATGTTCTTCGATGATTACGTCTTTTTGTTTGTCATAGCGATAAGGTTTAGTCCTACAAGGTTTTTCGGCATTTAATTGAATCTTGTGAGTCACGATCTTGACAGTTTCCCTCCTGGTTTTTCTGAAAACAAATGAGAAAAATTACTCACCACTTGCTGTATTGCTTTACTTTCCTGGTCATTCAAATGGCTAAGGTCCAATTCAGGTGTCTCCACCGGTTCCACCACCCTCTGGTCCATCTCCAGCACCACGGAACTATCTTGAAAATTTAATTTGGCCCTCGCGGCCCTTAAAAAGTCCATACCTAAAATAAGAGAGTGTTGGAGGTGTTTCACCACAAAAATTAATACTTTGAGATTTTCCTCTTTTTATCTGTAAGTTTAATGATACTTTCCCGATGCAGTGACATGTTTTTCCTTGCGCCGCTATAATTTCCGTATTTCTGGTTTTTGAAATAGTCGTATCCTATAAAATTCTTTTGAAGAACTTTTCACTCATGAAATTTCCTTCTGCCCTGTATCGATGAGGGCTTCTACTGGTACATCGCCAACCAGGACTTGTATAATTGGTAGCTGTGAGTTTTTTACGATGACTGTATTTAGATGTCTATTTGAGGGTTTTTCTAAAACTTCCGGGGTCTGGACCCTCCCTTTCACAGGCCCCTCTAGTCGTTTAAAGCTTTCCTTTCAATCTGTGTCTTCTGGGTACGCGGATGCTTATTTTCAAATTTTCTTTTTGGGCCTTGACCTTCGAGTTTCGATGCGTTAGCTTGATAGTTCTTTCCCCCATATGAGCGATTTCCATTTCTTGTTTCCTCCTTCCTTCTGGTACTTTGAGAATACACTCTAAATTTCTCAGAGTGAGATTTGAAGCGTGACAGCAATTTTCGCTCCGTTTCGTGTTAAACAAGGCAAGTTTACTGTTTGGTACAGAACATATTTTTCCACTTGCAAAATGACCTTGGAGAAGGGAGTGAGTTAAGGGAAGAACGACTTCCGTCGTGCCCCTACCCTCGCAGAGTGACCATGCAGTTTTGGCTGAGGCGCTATTTTAAGTGAGGACAGTTGTCTACATCGTAACAATGAACGCAGCTCCTCTGCCAAAAGTAAGTTTAGTTTTAAAATATATATACAATTATTTCTTAATAGAACTATCTTACTTATCATAAATTATAGTCTTATATTTTAGATTTATGTGTAAAAATTGAAGGATGTAATGAAAAGGAGTTTTAGTTGGCTCTTTTTTTAGGTAAATTTGCTTTAAGAGTGTAATGCTGTAACTTCGTTTTATTTATTACGTACTGTTAACACAATAAAAGCTATATATATGGATGGTACTTTTTGTAAACACTTCTTAAACAATTTACACAACACTATCGACTTTAATTATTCAAATTCAGTTTCGCATGCATTCCTAATTCGAGTACGAAGAACAGCGGTGGGGGAAAAAAATCCATACTATAGAGTTTTGATTTTTTATAACACAAATTATTTGTTTAGATTGCAAGAAATAAAAACCGTATACTTTACTGAATTCTCTGTTAAAGTCATATCGTTTTCAGCTTATAGCAGTTTTTTCATTGATTTTTAACTTCTTTTTTTTTATAAATTCTGCTTATAGTTTGTAAAAATAAAATTCACTTACTGTTGCAAATCTGAATTTTTACAAAGTATAAACACTAGCACTACCTGTGTCATATCAGCATTCTAACACTTATATTTTTGCAAATGTATTATTATTCTCGATAGTGTAGGTGGTAGCTCATATGGTCTCCTCGGTTTCTTTCACTGATGTTCAAAATTTATTTTGCATGTGTCATTTTTTTCTCAATTTATTATTATTTTGTCTGATTTCCATACTATGTTTTCTAAAAGTGATTTGAAAGTGTTTGCAAAGAAAATTTAGAAAACTGCATACTCGAGTTCTTGTTTCGGCATGAAATGAAATACAACGGTTAAGATACAATCAAAGATATTTTAGAATTCTGATTAAAGAATGTGTTCTTCTAAGGTAATGGGTTGCCAAAAAGTTTCTTAATGTTACAGTTTTGGGGCCAATTTTGAGAAAATGGGGAAAGGCTAAATTGATTTCAGTTACTAACATTTACTCTTATGTAATTTTTACTTACGTATGCTTAATATTATGTTTTTTTAATGTTCATTTAAATTTATATGCGCTAATATAATGTTTCACAGGCTAATTTTTATTTATAATGCTTAATAATGCTTTATGCATGCTTAAATATCATACTTAATCTTCGCATCCTAATATACATTTATATGCAATAAATATTATGCGCAATTTTTTGCCTGCCTATAAGCTTAATAATTTTCTTTCTACTTAACATTACTGTTGAAACTATTCCGATTAGCCACGAACCCACCAGCGGCCGCGCGGTAAAATCACTGTAGTTCGGTGAAATCCTGTGAGGTTTAAATCTCGTGGAACAGGTTGGTTGGAAATTTAAAAAATTTCACATCCCTTTTTTTTTTTTTTTTTTTTTTAATGAAACAAATCTTAAACAGCTAAGGTTGCTCATTTAAAACTTTTATTACTTAAAGTTAAGAAAGGTAGTTTATAGATTTCTTTAAAGACTAAGGGTAGGAACTTCTTAAACTAGAAACCATATTAAGAGAAATGTTTATCTTATCAAATGCATTACAAGCACATATAATTTTCATTATACGTACTTTTAATGTCATAATTTGTAAATGGACATAATGAATCGATAAAATAATTATTATCAATTGAGCGCACAGCGAAAGTAACAAAAATTATTTATTGATGCTGGTAATTAACCAAATTAATTAAAAAATACCTTGTTAATTTACTAGACAACACGTTTTTGGGAATATAATCTGTCTTAATACTTTTAAATATACATATAAATATCTAATTTCCGCTCTCTTAAGAAAATTTAGTTATGACTCAAAATTTTGAAGTTCCATTTAACATATCATTTGATTTATCTGTGATTTTGTAATGTAAATAAATCGTAATATTTATGAGAATAAATTAATATCATATATAACCACTGTTAAATCTATTGAAATTGTTTATTACACAGAATTAATTTCAAGTTTTTAATATTTAAAGATAAGAATTAGTAAAATTTTATATAAATGAAACAGTTATTCAATAATTTTTTAAAGATTTCTTTCCTGTTTTTTCTAAGTAATTTTGTCCCCTTATAGTTTTGAATTTGCTGTTCTTTCACCTTGTCTGTCATTCTGCGCTATATTGCACTGATTGATATTTAGTTGTCATTAAAATTTAGGAAGAATGTTATACTATATATTTCTTACAGAAGAAGGCGTCATTGGGTTGACGTTTCCTGATATCACAGATGACTTGAAAGAAATGAACATAAAATTAGGGCCCAGAAAGCATATTATGCAAATTGTGAATAGAATAAGGGTAACAATATAATTTCAATAATGGAATAACAATGAAGGATAATTTTATATTATTATCTGAAAAGTCATTTTCTTTTTAGTGCCCATCAGTTCAAGCGGTTGCTTCAATACCATCAGATGAAAAATGCACTGAAAAGGTCTGTCAAAGGTGCAAGTGCCATTTCTCCCACAGAATATACAAAGAAAAGAGGTGTCTTTAGACATATCCAAAATATATAACCAGTGTATTTCAAACAAGGTAATAAAAGTTTGTCTTTTAATTTTAATTATGTAAAAGAACACGTTGTGATTTATTAGTCGGTTATTACAATTTTCTCAATTTTTTCAGGATTCTTTTGATATCAGAAAGTGGGTCAGCAGTCACCCACAAGGCAAACAGCTCTGTGACAACTTGGATAGGGGTTCCTACAAGACTGAAGACAGGCAGCTGCTAGTTAGGATAGTCTGTTCAAAATTAGTAAACTTATGTGGAACTGTGTAAGTTTTTTTAGTGAACTTGAATATATTTTCATTGATTTAAGTCTAGAAGGTATAGATACGTTCTGAAAATTAAGAAAATATTTTATTTTATATGAATTTCAAGAATTTTCCATTAAATTATTTTTTTTTTTTTTAGCTACCCATCCTCAGAATGGAAGGAACGTACTGCAGAGGCATTAGTAGATGCATTTCCATTGTTAAAATCAAAAAGATTCCCACATGGGCATGTAAGTGTTCTTTAATTTTCAAAAAATTACTTTAAAACATGTTATCTAGTTATGTGATGTGTATTAATTTATGTGCAGGAAAGCTTCTATGATAAGACCACAGGAATAAGCTTTATAGAATAGGCCTGAAAACGCTTAGGAAGTCCATCAAAGAAAAAAAGGATTAGCCAAAACTTCAAAAATCTGCAGAATAGAACCATCTCTTGAAACAGAACGTTTGACTAAAGAGGATTTAGAAGAAAAGGTTTTTTTCAGCTTTCGTAAAATTCATATTCATAACATTTTAAAATATTTCTATGTTATAAATATTTCATCTATACTTAAAGAAAATGTTTGAAAATTAGTGCATATAAATTTTTTTGTTATAGATAATGTGGATGAAATTTAAAAATCCCATAGAACCCAATAGACAGGCGATTTCAGATATATTTGTCTGAAACAATGGCTGACAGACAAACTGAAATAAGAGATTCAGGCATGACCATAACAGATGTTTTAGAGAGATATCCCAGGCTACAAGATTATAGAGGAGATATGGTAAGAAATTTAGCTAATTAATTTTCAGTTAGTAATTGCACTTTAAATTTACATATACGCATAGTGTATATTGGTGATCTTTAAAATGTGTCGAGCCAGGAAATTAAAATCAAAGTTTCAGCATAATCAATTCAAAGAATTTCAGTTCAAAATCATTTTTCAGCATTATGTTAAAACACATAAGTTCTTGTAATAATTTTCATTCAGGATATGCTTGGTTTAAGAAACTGAACCATTAACCACATGCATTCAGTTTTTAAAATCAACATTTTTATGAATATGTACTAGATAACCTATTTTTGATTTTTGTATAAACTTACTGGAAATTATGTTGTGTTTGCAGATTGATGCAGAATTTTTACGCATGCCATCCCAATTCAGACACTTTCTTGGGAAAGTTTTCATCTTTTTATGTCCCAAGAATTTTGAGATATGCTGAATCAAAACGGCCTGATCTTCTGGTACCAAGTATTGCTGATTTCAGTGGTAAAGATCTTTAAAAATTTAACTAGGATTATAAATCATATAATACTTTAAAACTTTTTTACGTACTGTTTTAATTACCTAAAGTAATTTTTTATCTATTACTTGCATTGGTCATTCTTAAATGGCTTATAAAGTTTTTTCTTCTGGCTTGTAAAAGTAAGCTGTAAATCCATGTACCTCTAGTACCAAAGGCCTTTTTAATGATATTTTTGTAATCCTTATGTAATAAAAGTCTGTGTATTTTTTTTTCATATATATAGATGATCTAAAAGCATTAGTTTTGCTCCCAGAACTTTTGCCCAGCCCAAATTATGGTAAAGGAAGAGGGAAAAAAGGTAAAAAAAAGGTCTCATTCATTATTAATGAGTAAATACTTGGCATAAGTCTATGCATAAAAAATAATTTCATATGCTTAGCTAAAATTCTTTTAATAGGATAATATTTTTAGTTTGTAGTGTATGTGTATGCAAATAAGCTATTGATACTATATGTAAGTGAATTGAGCTGCATATCCTTTGAACTTTGCTACATTTTCTTTCTTGAAAGGTTCATGTGTGATATTTATGTAGCTTCAATTAATAATTACATTTCACATGCAATTGTTATCCAGTTTATGTCTTTTATATATATATATACTTTTATTTTTATTTCTGTAGAGTAAAGGCAAAACAAGTATTTTGGCATCAGGCTGTTATTTACAAAAAAACATTCCAAATTCTGCACTTCTAATATTTGCTAATGTAAGTATTTATGAGTTTTGTATGTTTTGCACTTTCATTTTAAGAGGGCAGATCATATTTAAACGAGCCATTTTACAACAGTGAATGTATTTGGCCTCATGTGGCTAAAATTCATGTTCTCAAGCTGCTTTCAACTGTTGTACCCACAGATGATGCATCGTCATTTAGCTAATTTTTGTAGAATTGAAATGGCATTGATTTGAATGTCACCTACATACTAGCAAATATTTCGAGAGAATAAGAAGGTTTGTATTATGTGTGATGTCTTTGTATCATCTAAAGCATGACAGTAATCATTTCTATGCATGTATCATATAGTGAACATAGATTTTTTTTTACTTGTAAAGTGATGGAGAAATTGCTTGAATTTCAAAAAGTAATTCCAGTCAGACTAGGGCAATTATGAAATCAAGAACAAGCATCATAGTTTAATATGAAGAAATGATATTTGGTTTCATAAGAATAAGCCAGACTAATTCTCCATATTCTTTGTTCTTTTTACATTATTTATTACACTTTTCATGAAGAAGCAATGCACAAATAGCAGTATGCATTACTATCCTATTCTATATTTGCATCAATATAATACTTAAATATTCCTATATGTTTTGATACTGCACTTTTACAGAAACTAAAAGCAAAAGATCCTCTATGTGCATAAAATTACTTGAGTGGTATTTTTGTATGAAGAAAAAAAAATTTTCTGGCAATATTTTTTAATTGGAAAGATAAACTTTCTAATATGGATAATTGGTATTTGACTTGTCCTCATAGGTATGGATGTATTCTTAATGAAGAAATTTATTTTCAGGGAATAGAAGACATGGAGTCTCTTGAACCAGGGCAGAATAAGCAACCGATTCTAGTGTGCATTTCAAATTCATTTTACATTAAAGCAGATAACAAGTTAATAGCATGTCCAAATCACGCCATGAAGGCATTCGACATTTTATTTAAATCCCATTTCGTATTTAGTGTGCAATATGCACATGTATTAACAAATTTTTACAATTTTATGGAAAGTTTTTTATACAATATAAGCACTCCTAGAGCATGTGTGGACTCGTTAAATACATGTTTCAGCAACATAGCTATTGAGTAAAAATTTATTGCAATTTTAATATTTTTATTATTGAGTAAAAATTTATGTATGTATAATATGTTTGTTAATAAAGAGTTTTTCATGTATTGCTTGTTTTCATTTATTTTTAAATTACTTTGTTCATGGAAATTATTATAATTCTGAAGATTAATGATTTCTACTCATATTTAACCAATCAATAAAGTACATATTAATTTTCAGCAGAATTATGAAACATGAATGTGTATCTTACACATGTGAGCTAATCCATATTATTTCACTTTTACTTTATTCTTTCCACATGAGACTTGGAACTAGAATTAACATATATAAAAATAAGTTATAGTCTAAAAGTATATGTAAACAATTATTCACCTATAATGATTAATGTATAGGAATTTGTATGCATATAACTTCTCAAAAGTAAAAAGTGTTGTAAGCTAACTGAAGATAAGCTTTATTCATAATTTGGGGTTAATAATTAATTTTAAGTTCTTAATGATTTTGTAATAAGAAATAGAAACAATTCTTTTGCAGTATATGAAGTTAAAAACAATAGCATGAGAGTATTTTATGGTTACTAATTTTCTGAATCTCATACATTGCAAATAAAGCTGAATAATTTAGGGAAATTAAATTCACATTTTTTTCTTATTTCAATGTATATTAAAATTTATTATTCGATATTTTTATGCATATTATGCTCAAGTCGACAAAGTACTAGTAATATCAATTCACAAATTGTATTAATATATTCACTTATAAGTAGCATTTAAAGAAGTTGAATCTATCAGAATATAATACAGGTTTACTGAGACACATATACATGATCAGCTGTTTTAACACATTCAAATTTTCATTATTATAAAATTTTTCAAGAACTATTTTTGATAAATTACATTTCCAAATATTGTGATTATTTAATTTAAAATTTAGCTTACAATTTACATGATTATGTGTTCTAATCTTGTGAATAAACATAATTTGTTTTTTAAAATTAAAATATGTATACAAAATTTAGAATATATATCACTATATATATATGATTCATCTAAAATAATTTTTTGAAACTTTCTTTTGAAACTTTCTTTCTCAAACCAAATTTTGAAAATTTCTGAAAATATTTATTCAAAGATTTAAGTACCTGAAAAACCTTTTTTTTCAAATAACCAAGCTTTAAGTGCGAATATCTTGCTATTCCAGTTTTTAAGTTGCTTTGATTTTAATATTGCTTTTTTATTGCTTAGTATACATAAAGGCAAGAACCATGTTTCTGTAAAATAAAATATATTCTGTGAATTTAAAGTAATTTCATATCAGAAGTACTGTGAGAAAGTGATAGTGTTATTTCAGAATGTTAAATATTGTAACATGACACCGAATTTCCAATATTTTAATGTGGATGTAATATTTTGATATATATATATTTCGCTAGATTTGGAAAGAAAAACTATATGTCCAAATAAAGAAGATATGATTATCCTAAAACAATGATTTTTATTTCAGTGATGGTCTACTTTGATTCATAATCGTCTTCATGACCAATAAATGTTTTTGTAAGTACATAGGTAGCAAATCTAAAACAGCAGATATTTAAAGTCACAATATAGCATGTTAAAAAGTAGTGTAAAACATTTTTTCAAGATAATATTAACCAGAAATCTAAAACTTTGCCTCAGCCATAAATTTTACATAGCAAATACCAATTTTCAGTTTGCCAATAAAACAAATGTAAAATAATTATATAAAAATCGCACCATCAAGGAGTGAGCAGACTATTATGAACTCCTTGTAATGTGTGTGGTTTCACCTGAATATCGGGCGATATCTCGACTATCGGCAAGAGCGAACGAAGAAAGAGTCACTCCTTTTTTGTGTGAGAAGGAACCACTTTTTATTAGAGTGAAAATCGCTCTTTTGAGGTTGGTGCCATTTTGGCATTAGAGGGAGGTGAGATG